CCCCCCCCCCCCCCCCCCCCCGCAAATGGAAGATGTTAACTACTTGATGACCATGAGCAAGTAGCCCTCAGGCCTCCTGGAGCCTAAGGACTGATAATGTTAACCCCTGCGACACCGGCCTGTTACCACACCGTCAAGCAATCAGAGAACTGTGCACAAGTCGATCACACACCCTGCAACCCCTCTCCCTCACCTGGGCTTTAAAACTGTTTTCCTGAAAGCCTTTGGGGAGTTTGGGGTTTTAGAGCACAAGCCACCTGTCCTCCTTGTATTGGCACCTTTACAATAAACGCTGCATTTTCCTTCACCACAATCTGGTGTCAGTAGATTGACTTTACTGTGCGTGGGTGAGCAGACCCGAGTTTGGCTCAGTAACACTTTAATTTGAGCTCTATGTTAGACAGTTATCATGATTCACAGTGGAGGACACTTAGAGTCCAAAAGGTTAGGTAACTTGCTCATGGCCACAGGTTAGTAAATGGGTAACAGGACGGATTTTACATCTCAGGCTTGATGGAAACATCAAGCCCTCTTGATTAACACCATATCCACCAGCTCCCAGGATGAATACCAGTTCACAGTAGGTGCTCACTTTATGCTTTACCTGACTAAACCAAATTCAAATCAAAAGGTGTATTTTCTTTAACTAGGAAAACAGACATCCTTTGAGATGAGCAGAATAAAGAAGACATCATGGCTGCTGCCCTACAGTCTTCAATCAACTATTATTGGCTAAGCACCTGTAGGAACGATTTCCTGTCCTAAGCATTAAGGATACAGTGCGTAAGATATATATGGCCCCTGCTTGCATTAAGTCTTACAGCTAAATAATAAACAAACAAAAGTTATATAAATACCCAGAACTGTGATAAGGGCTCCAGAAAAGGGTGAAATGGTGGCAGAAGGGACAAGGAGGGGGCCAATCTCACGGAGGAGTTTGGGAAGGCCTCCATGAGCTTGGAGGGATAGGTCAAGAGTAATCCGTTCACAAAGCTTGGGGAAGTATTCCAGGTAGAAAAACCAATATTAAGAAGACTTTAGCCTGCAAGAAACTTGACTTCTAAAATCAACTAAGAAAAAGTTCATCTTGCTGTAAGAGACAGAGCGGGGGCGGGGGCAAAGAGATGCTAAGAAAGTGAGAGGGTGGCAGGCTGATTACAAAATTCTTAGGACACCATGTGGGGGTGGGTGTCACATTCTAAGAGCAACAGGAAACCATCAAAGTGTTTCAAACAGGGGAGCAACCTGATCAGATTTTCCTTCCAAAGTTATTGATGACAATACATATGATGGCAAACATTCTAAATGCCGTTTCAGACCATTCGCTGAGAGTTCCTACTCTCTAAATCCTGGGCGAGAGGTAACTGTGTAGGTAGGATGAGGGTACAAGAGAGGAATCAAGAAGGAACGCTTTGGGAAAGGAAGAGAAAGGAAAACTACATTTTTCTTAGTACCTACAATGTGCCAGGCAGGCATTCCATAGGAATCCTTGTTTGTTATTAGATTTAATCCTGATTCCAGAAAAGAAATCGAATTTTCCAATTTTTATTATTTTTCTCTAAGGAAAGCAGCCGAACTTTTTATTAATATATAAATTTATTTATTTTATTTATTTTTATTTTTGGCTGCATTGGGTCTTCATTGCTGCGCGTAGGTTTTCTCTAGTTGTGGCAAGCGGGGGCTACTCTTCCTTGCTGTGCGTGGGCTTCTTACCGCGGTGGCTTCTCTTGTTGTGGAGCACAGGCTCTAGGCACACAGACTTAAGTAGTTGTGGCACACGGGCTCAGTAGTTGTGGCTTGTGGGCTCTAGAGCGCAGGTTCAGTAGTTGTGGAGCACAGGCTTAGTTGCTCCGAGGCATGTGGGATCTTCCCGGGCCAGGGCTCAAACCCCATGTCCCCTGCATTGGCAGGCGGATTCTTAACCACTGTGCCACCAGGGAAGTCCAAGGAGCTGAACTTTCAAGCCAAGTTCATCTATCCATTCATCTGTCCATTTATTCATCACTTCGTTCATTCATTCTGCGGAATGCCAACTATGTGTGACCACTGCTGGGCGCTGGGATTCCATAGAAGAGAAAGTTTCTCACAGTCTAGAGGAGAGTGAACAACTATATAAACCCTAGGATAGTAGGTGATGCATGCTTTAAAAGATGTATGCACATATACAGTGGGAGCTACACGACGGAACAGCGGGTTGGCCTGGGAGTGTAAGGGAGAGTCATGTTTGAGGTGAAACTTGGAAGTAACAGTTAAGAGTTTGCCAGTGGCAGTGATGTGGGAAAAGGCACTTCCGGGAGAAAGAGTTGCAAGTCTGAAGGGTCAGATGCATGGGAGAAAATGCGTTTTGTTTAAGGAGGTACAAGGAGTTAAATTTTGGAGGATAGAGCATAAAGTATAGAGTGGGTACAGACTAACCATGTAAGCGAAGACAAAATCGGAGAGTGAACTGCCCTTGTAAGGAGGCGCTAAGGACTTTAGATTTATTCAATAGATTCTGCAGAGCCACTGAATTACCTTGCTGCTATATGATCACAAGTTCGTATTAGCCTTAAGACTAATTAGTTAGATGACTCTGACTGGTCTAACAGGGAAACCAGTAAGAAGGCTACTGTAACAAGAAGATGGTGGCTTGATATTACAATAGATGACCGAAATAGTTAGGCTGTGACAGGGGGTATAATAAAAAGAGGACGGATTTGAGATATTTGTGGCCCTAGATGATGGATTAGATGTTAGGGACAAGAAAAGTCTAGGAAGCATCCTTGGTCTCCAGTTTGGGCAACTTGGTAGAAAAGAATGCCGTTCACTGAAGTGGAAGCACAAGCAGGTATAGTTTAGGGTGGAAGGTGGTGACTTCAAGTTTGTTGGGTTTGACACACCTGGTTTGTCATATGGTTTGATCTACTTGTTTCTAAATTGCAGTCACAGACTAGACTGAAATATGGCATTGGAGATTATTTAGTCCGACAGAAGGAAGACAGTGAGGCCAAGAGGTTGGAAAACTGGCCTGATGATCTGCCAGGCAGGTAGGGATAGGAACACAGCGAGTTACTAATGCCAGGACTTAGCTCCCCTCCACTGGTCCTTTGCTTCATCACTCCTCATCTCTATTCCTTCGTAGAAAGGGCACAATTAGAAAGAAAAGCAGAGGAGTGGAGGGAATGGTGGACACAGACAATGTCTAAGGAAGAAGAGAGAAGATATGGTGACTGAACTCCTGCTCAGGCCACCTTTCTATGTGTTTAGAAATTAAAGGTTCAAAATATGGCCAGATGGGAGGTATCTCTCAACCACTCTCCTAAGACCAGTGCAGGGAGACAGAGAGGGGCTAAATTCTGGCAAGCAGGGGATCCAGAAAGGGGCGTTGCTAAAGACAAAACATCTTCAGCTTCCTCATTCTGCTGGTACTGGCCTGACAGGAAGCAGGGGCTCCAGGCCCCCCTCTCCCGCCAAGCTCTTCCCTGTCGGCAGCTTCGCATGCCCTGTCCCAAAGGATGGTTCTATGCGTGAGCTCCCTGATTCTGCTGCTCCCAGGCAAGTGCACAGGAGCTCCTGGGGTGCTCAGAGAAGCAGCCTTGGGTGCTCACAGAAGACAGAGTGGGACATGTAAGGGGAGGGCTGGGCATTGGATTAAAAGCACTGCAGTTTTGGGGTTTCCATGGTGACACAAGCCCCTCCTTCTCATCATCCTTTCAAACCCACCTCCAGTGGTCTCTTCTCTCCCACTTCTCTTCCCATAGTCACTTCTATCAGAGTGAAGAGAAATTTGCAGGCCAAAGGAACAATTTATCTTTTTTGTTCCTGTGAAAAACCTTATTTTCAAACACTCAATGAGGTATCTGTAGCAGAGGCAGAGAGGCGAGAGAAACACACACACATGCAAAATCCCTCCTGTCGGTTTGAGCATCACCTATGAAACAAACTGTGATGCACCAGGTGTCCCTTGAAAGAGAAAAGAGAAAGCAATTATCACCCCACCTGGAGAGACACACCTCTCAGGCAGGCAAGCAGCTCACTGCTGTGACTCTACTATATCTTTTCCCCAAAGTGGCTTTGCCTAGTCTCAGAAGTCCCCCACCCTGAGCTTTTGTGTTTTCTATTTTTGTCATTGTTGTCGTTGTTGTCTGTGTTTTGACCCGCTCTGTTTTTAACGTCCTTGAGAAGATCAGAGCGCTAGGAAATGAGGTAAGTCACTGCCTCTGCTGCATTTATTTAGCTTACCCTTTTGGGTCCATTCATTTCCTGCTAGCACCTTGGGAAAGGGAGGGGCAGAGGAAAAAGAGGAGTGGCTGGGAAATGTCATGACCCAGCTGCATAATATAAGGCAGAAAGATCTGCATGGATGTGGAGTTTTGTTCTTAAGAGTCAGAGTGATGGGCAGAAAACCAACCCCCTCCAGACTAAGGTGGGCAGATCCTTCCCTTGGGGATCTGCACCTAATGTGCTCCTTCTAGCCTAGCTGACCCAGTCCTGGATCAGTTAGGGGAGCTGGCCCACCTGCCGGGCCAACTGCTGAGTCCCCTCCCACGACCACCCCCTGAGGCTTTCTGAACAAAGCTTTGGTGACTGTGATTGCCATGCCTCCTTATCTCCCTTCCTCCTTCCAGCCCTTGTTGCTCAAAGACCCGTACAAATGCCAAGCGGTGACTCCTGAGTCATCACCATGGGTGTCGCAGATGCATTGATTTGATTTAATATGCAAAAATGCAAATCTAAGCAAATTAGGTGGCTGGAGCAGTTAAATAAAAAGTCTCACTCTCCATATTGTAGCGTTGAGCTCAGCTGACCCTGTCACCCCCTCAGGCCATTTGGAAAGCCCTTTGTTGCTGCTGATGCCACCTTGAACCCCGAGTCCCAGGCCTCTTACCCTCTGCGTCTGGTTGTTGGTGACCAGTTCATAGATGGGGGCTGCTCTGGTCACCTCCAGCAGAACTGGCTCGGCAGGGGTGTCAGGGCTGGATGTCACATGACACAGGGGGCAGGACGAGGGGCACCGTCCCTTGCTCTGGCACTCCATGCGGACTCCAGCCGCCATGCGCTTGGTGCCAGACTCTGACAAGCTGGCAATGTATTCTGGGAATGTCAGCACCTTGGGGTCTCTTTCCCGCTCCTCTGACTCGTCGGATGGGGAGTTGCCTGGCAGACACAAAATAAAAAGGAACAGTGAGGGAGGTGAAAGAGCAGGGACTTGCATGGCCTCGTGGCCCCTGAGTGCTAGACTCAAGTCCTTGCGAGGTCAGAAAATGACTCTGAGGGGGTAAGAATGTGATGCTGTTATCCCACTCAATGTGGGGAGCCCATCCTCCCAGAAACCCACACAGCTGGAAATGACCCTTCCAAATGTGAGACCAGGTTTTCTTCCTTTCTGAGAATCATCAGTGCCACGGATCCTTTCAGACGGATGCTTCTGCTGTACCTGTGCAGGATTTATGGCTGTCATCAATAATATAAACAATAATAGCAGTGATTATTCTATGAATCATTTTCTTCACCCAAAAATGAAGATATTAATAATACCTACCTCTAGCATTGGTTATAAATAGCCAACTATTTTTAGAGCACAGAGCACAACGGCTAGTGCATGTTGAAGCACCATCATCATAGTTTTAATCGTAACTATCAGTAAGATTTATCAAGTCTGTACAGTGAAAGTGAGATCTCTTAAAGATCTCCCTTAACCCCTATAACAACTCTCCGCATGAGTTCTATCATTACACCCATTTCATAGATGAGGAAAGTGAGGCCAAGAGCCTCAGGACCACACAGCTAGTATATAGTGAGATCTGAAATTTACATCCAGTCTTGTCTGATCCTAAAGCCGTTAAGTCAGAGGGAATAACAGGACTTCTCTGCTTCATTATTAATCAATGTATTAAAGATACAGAAGGAAGTTTGACTTTTTCAAAAAGATTTGCACTACAAAGCCTGAAAGATGGGTCCACATTGCCCTTGACTGATGAGTAAAAGGTATTTGGGGAAGCTCTTGATTTATTTTTGGTGACAAACATTGGAAATGCCTACCAGAAGAGTTCTTCCCTATGGAAGAAAGCATTGCTTGACAGTTCTCTTCCAAGCCTTCATAATTTTTCATTTAATTTATTAAGTCTAAAGAAAGATGGAAGTAGAATCTGCTAACAAAAAGCTCTGGGTTCCTTAGGAGATCCCTGGTCCTTTGTGCACAGTTGTATGCCCGAACATGAAACAATTTCAGGGAGATGGCTGGGCTTTTGGAAACAACAGGCAGACACAGAATGTTCCTTCTGGTTCTCAGGCTCATCAAGAGTGCCGAGCTTGAGGGACCAGATCTTTGGGGAAACTGGTTGGAAGGATTTGCAAAGTGGTTCCAGAAGGTAATTGTGAGATATGACTTCATAGCAGAGTTCCCTCTGATGGGGCTCAGGGAGCACTGTTATTCTCCCCTTGTTCGCGATGTAATGTAAGACCGTTTGGAAGTGTCCAGGGGCATTTCAGCACTGTTGTTTCCCACATGAGCATCATCCCTGTGCAGATGAGACATTTTTACCAGCAGCTCCATTGACACCAGATTCCTTCTGTGTGCAAAGGCAAAGGCTCACTTAGAAACTATAAATATGGAATATAATTTCACACGTGCCTTTTGTTTAATAACGGATCAAAGATTGAGCTCAAGCCCTTGCTAGGTTATAAGGGAACTGCATAACAGCACACACCAAAACCAAGAGTGATGGCCTCCAATAGGAAGTCCAGAAGCCCATACCAGCTAGCCCCAGAGTCAACTCCAAGCCACGTGTACATCTTGATTGACATTCAGGCTCATGAAACTCAGTGAACCCCACTGGGAGGGTTCGTAAAGCGGCCACGACCTGGCAGGAGGACTCTCCTCACCCAGCCCCTGGCCAGGCCTCCAATCTTCTTCAACAGGCTGTATGAACTGGGCTGTGATAAATAGGGGTGGGGTGAGAGCTTTGCAACTATGATGTGATTTCTAGAAAAACAGGCCTTTGTTCATTGAGAAAGTAAATGAAAAAAAAAAAAATCAGTAAAGAGACCATGCTTCTTTTCAAGATAAGATTTGAAACATTTCACTGTGCAAGCCTTGCCAGGGAGCCGAAGGGTCTCTTGCTGGCCCTCCTGACCCTCACAAGCATTTCATTATCCATCCACATGTCATCTCAACCTCCTGGTTGAGAAAGTATTCAACAAAGAGGCTGCGAGAAGCATTTCTATGAAATGACCACGAGGTGGTGATATCAGCTCTAAAATGACTTCTGTGAGAGGAAAGAAAAGGCGTGATCAATCCGGTGTGGCCACTGTGGTACCACAGAAAATAAACTTACGGAAAAATAACACCTGGCTACTTTAAAAAAAAAAAAAGTCATGGTACAATTTCCTTTCAATCAAATAATAAAAAGCTGAGTAAAACAAATCCATAAAACTTATCCTAAGGAGAAAAATACAGAGTGAGAGACATAATTGTGAGAGACACAAGGAAGGGAAAATAAAACTCTAAAGGGAAAATAAAAATCCCCCTCCAGAGGCTTCCCTGGTGGCGCAGTGGTTGAGAGTCCGCCTGCTCATGCAGGGGACGCGGGTTCGTACCCCGGTCCGGGAAGATCCCACATGCCGTGGAGCGGCTGGGCCCGTGAGCCATGGGCGCTGAGCCTGCGCGTCCGGAGCCTGTGCTCCGCAACGGGAGAGACCACAACAGTGAGAGGCCTGCGTACCAGGGAAAAAAAAAAAAAAAAAAAATATATATATATATATATATATATATATATCCCCCTCCATATCCTTCACATGGAGTATAGTTTACTTAAAGGGGAAAATAATATGCCACCAGATTTCTTTTCTCTCACTTTCACTCCCCAAACACCCAGAAACTACCCCCACACCCTACATACATATCCGTATATAAGACATATAACCCCTGCGCATTCATCACTTAGGGTGCACCATCTGACAGACAAATTGGGCCACGAGAGGGCACTGCAACCCCAAACGCAGTCGAGCTGAGTGACAGCCTCCCTGCCCTCCAGCGCTGCATCATTAAGGCTTGTAATCGCTGTAAACATTTGAGGGGCTGCTCCCCTTGCTTCCGTCTTCTGGCTTTCCCAATTAAAATCAAGATGCAACTAATCCCCTTCAGTATCCTTCAGCCCTGGACTGGTGTAAGATTAGGACGTAGAGAAGCACAGGAAGGGGTTTACAGAGGAAGATGGTGAGAGGCCACCAAACTCTTGTTTTCATCAGAATTGTATTTTCCTTCTCCTGATAATATTCAGGCCCATACAGAGCAGGCCCTGCTGGAGGCCAAGACGAATTGCCCCTCTGGTCCCCTCATCATGCAGGATGGAGCTGTCTAGAGAGGAGCGAGATTTACACAGAAGTAATGAGCAGCTAACTCCCCAAAGCCATCTATTCAGGCTCCAGCGAAGAATAGATGTGTGTGTATGAGAGAGATTTTTCAAAAAGAAAATGCATTTTCCATGCGCCATTAAAGATACGATCGGGAAATACTCCTTAAAATGATGGGAGTCCAGTGGTGAAAGCCCAGATAAATCTCCCTTTGCCCAAAGAGAGTACCAATAACCAATGTGTCTGTGGGGAGTGAAAGAGTTCAAACCTAAAAGCTTCAGGAGAGTCTGAGTTTTGACATTTGCTTTTAAACCCCAGCTCAGTGTTGGAGTGGGTGGTGGCGAGGTCTGTGTGTGGAGAGTGGAGAGAAGAGTCTCTGCCTTATTTCCTTATGGTTCAATGGCCACCTTCTTCTATGTCTACTCCAATGACAGTCCTTTCTTACTTCGTCTCTCTTCTGCCCTCTAGATCCTGGGTAGAAATGCTCTAGTAATTTGAGACACTATCTTGTTTCTTAATAAAATGAATATTCTATTTCAACAAATATACAGTTTCTGGACAAAAATAAGCTACAATTAAGGTCTTAAAAGAATATAACTGACAAAGGTAACTTCTGACCAAGAATACCCAAGTGTGCTCCCCCCCACTCAGCCCCGTTTGCAAAATTCACCCTATTGCTCTCAGGGGAGGCTGTGGGGTCCTCATCACACTTAGCTTTCTTACAAGTAGAAGAACAGCCAACCTGGAATGTCGTTAACAACCCCAAAACTGCAAAGCATTCTGCAAATACAGTTTGCTATAAATAAATGCCATTTGCTTTAGGCTAAATCTGTATCCTACAGCACACAGTGGATGAATTTCCCCAATAGAATACTGTGCTATGAGATTATTGGCATCCTCAGTGTTCAAAATCTCTTTGTGGATGTGCCTGTGGCCTTAGGCATGTACATATTGACCCACCTAGACTCAGGAGCATAGGAGGATAAAAGTGACTGACCATCCTCATCCAGGGTATGCTCTGCTGCTGGAAACTGACAGGTCATGAAGGTGAATTAGCTGTTATGAAGTAAATTGGTACCATTCCTGTAGGATTCTGGGACTGCTTAAGAATCTCTCTCCTGAGTCAGTGCCCAAGGCAATGAGATGCTAATGACATCACAGCTAGAACTACAGAGGCAGTTCATCAGGCAGCCAAAAAAAAAATCAAATGCAAACTTGTCAGATCCCAGCTTTTGGAGACAGCTTAGGACCCACAGGAAAGAAAGCCTGACGTGGGGTAAATGAAGCACAGCCATAGTGAACTGCACCCTGAAGCCCACGGACACCCTGATTTCCATGACCTACCCCCACTCCCACTCCCCCCACCCCAGTCTACTCCTGTTCACACCAGAAATCCTGAAGTTACCCGAATTCACATTTCCACCCATGCACCCAGGGTCAAATCAGCCTCTTACGGTGTTTAGTTATGTCTGTAAACAGAGAGGGTCAGGTCGCTCTGGATGGCCTTAAATTGAACTCCTAGACCTGCCATGAGACACACTTTCTGAGATCTGACCAAAATACAATACGACGGATTCATAATCAGGGACAAGTGGATAGGGCGTGACCCGGCCACTTCTCTCTACACCTCAATAGGAGATAACGGGTGCTCTGGGGGCAGGGATTGTGTCTTCTTCATATTTGAAACTCCTTTCCCTGGTTTAGGTGTATATATCCATTTCCATATCTCTTTCTATCTATATATCCATGGATATATATTTTTTTTGGAGGGAAAAGGGGAGTGAATATAGTAAGTCATGACC